CAACATATTACTTGTAATTATGACTATACACGTGAATCTTATATCAAAATAATTGATGTAACAAAAAATTTTAGTAGTTGATATAAACTACGTGTTATATTTTAAAAAAAAAATCAACAAAGTTCCCTTTAAAAATATGATCCAATTGACAATATCAACTTGTGTATAACTCATAATCAAACCTTTTATGTAAATAAAAATGACCTTATATTAATAATCTCACCACACCACATTAATATCGTTATTACCACTGTTTATCAACTGTTATAATATAATAATCCAAATATCTAATATCAAAATGAATAAGATACAAATATAAATTGAACTAATACTGAACTTAAGCTAATATAGTTCTTGTCGAAAAAAACAAACTTAAGCTAATATAAATAACTAAATACATTCACTCACCCCATAGAAGTCAAATAACCTATAAAATCAATATATTGTGCCGACTAGTAAACACTTGTGTCCACTAGTTAGCACTTGTGCCCAAAGGCACTGCATGATACAAAAAATCGGCAATTAAAAAATTTAAAATTCACTAAACAAAGTTAAAACTTGAGCATTGGAGTCCCCAAAGTAGTTAAAATATAATAGATTGATAATTTTTTAGCAGAACCCTAAAGTCGTTGCACTAACCAACCACAATCCTGTCTTAATAAAAAGATTTACCAACTACCACAACATAGACCTTGTAATATTGGTGCACTAAAATATCAACCCATAGTCTAGTTAGGCATCTATCATACGTACAATTGAAAATTTTATATAACAAGATTTTCATGAGAATTTTGAACAAATAAACAAATACTTTAACAAATATCAAGGTAAAGCTCACTACATAAATCTAACAGAACCAAGAAAATCCATTAAGACCATATTCAAATCTTAGATGTTTTTGGAAGCCATTAATGTGAATAAAGGTTTAGTATTGGAGCCTTGTAGACTCAATGAACTTCAGCTCCAATATATATCTAGCAATAATGTAAAAGATCAAATAAAAATAATTTGCAAGGTAGTTTAACGAAAGAAATCGAATTGATGGGATATAAGAGAGAAATGGTTGCAGTTTCATGCATAATAACTTCATTAGTAAATCATATGCCAATCCATACAAAATTGAAAAGGAAACCAAATTTATTAAACCTAATCTAATCAAACACCTACTTTTATCAAAATAACCGTGACATGTAACATTCAATCGCAAACATAACTTTCAATTGCGCAAACAAAATAAATATAACATTAAATTTCAAAGCAAATAACACTAACATTCAATCAAAAATACTACTAACAACTGTAATTTTTCAAATTAATTTCTTGCAATCGCAAACATAACTTTCAATTACGCAATCAAAATAAACATAACATTAAATTTCAAAACAAATAACACTAACTTTCAATCAAAAATGCTACTAACAACTATAATTTCCCAAATTAATTTCTTGCAATCCCAAATAAACATCCTATCATTTAATAACTTACAAAACTTAATTAACACCCAATATGAGAAAACACCTAAACTAACACCCAAAATATCAAATCAATGTGTTGTGTGTGTTGGTGTGTGTCTTATCTTATCTATACTACTTCTAAAAGTGGTTTAAGAAGAAAATCTTTTAATTTCCTTATTTGCCCTTCAATAAGTCTATAATGTCATCTTTATCTTTTCACTCACTAATGCCTGATTGTATTCTTATCTAAAAAAAATATTTTTTGCTACTTAAATGCATTGCATATTACTTCACCCTTCAAGTGTCCCTCTATCTTCTCCTCTCTCTCTCTCTCTCTCTCTCTCTCACACACACACACACACACAAAACTCCACTTTAATGGTTACTCCTTCCAAGTTAGTAAACTTTTGTTTTTCTCTTTCACCCTTAACCATACAATTAAGTCATTTTCACCCTTGAACGTAAACTAATTTTTATCCCTTTTTTTGACCCTACACATTCTTAGACTAAATGCTTTGACTACAGTTACAATATCCTATTAATGGGCTCTTACTTCTCTGCCTCACCGTCTGCTTGTTGAGCTACCTGAAAGACAATAAGTTACAATTGGCAGGAATACAATGAGGAGGATAACAAACAACGAACATAGAATATATCATTTTAGAGCTTTGATGATGATTGTAGACTACTAAAAAACCTACTCAACAACATTCCACAATGGAAGTTGGTTACAACACATTTCTTGGACCTTTGTAATCCTTATTTGAATTGTTTAGGAATATCATTTTGTCAATTTCTAACACTTCGGATGTTATTCTACTTTCAGCTCGTAAGGTTGGGTACGCTCGATTCGATTTTTTAAAGATTAGTTCAAGAGCCCATTGAAGCAATTGGTCAGTAATAATTTTGGGTGGTGCATTTCTATTCAGGAAAGAGCAATTTTGAGGTCTTAATTTTCATTACTCTATTTCTCCAATATGTGCTTGTGTTTCTTCGAAATTCTCATATGGGCATTTTGCAATTATAGGGATTGCTATCGTAACTATTTGACTATGGGTCAAATTTTAGAAAAAAATTATGTGACTATGACTTGTGTTGCATCTAAATGATTTCATACCGTAGATATCCTCCACATGCCCATATGCACTATGCTCGTGGAGTACTTGAAATTATAACTATTAAATGTTTGTCAACTCTAATTTTTGTTTATCTCCATCCACCATCCTTTTTTGTTTGGAATTATGATGAATCTATGTTTTTTTGGTTCACCGCCAAAACAGTTGAACGTCAGATTGCTATAATTGAATTATCGTCATGTTTTTAACCGCCCCCATCAATCACAGTTCTTTTCTAAATGTCTATATAAGGTCAAGAATATGACAAAACACTTTGATCATTACTGATGCAGCTTTAGATTATGACATTTGTTCAAATGTATATAGATGTCTTATACTTAGAATGAATCCCTCAAATTGGTCATATATCTATGTCGACTTTCTTTTCTATCTTGGGTAGTAACCATTTTAAAATGTGGAAGACCAGTTGCTTAGATTAAGCATTAATGTTAAAGATTTGTAATTAGCCAAATAATTTTGTTGGTATATTGTTTGGTCATATTATGTTTTTGCTTCATGTTCTACTATGAAATGAGAAAAATCTCAAACTCAAAAGTAACAACATACCACGTGGCTTAAAATATTGATTACTTGATTTTTGGGGCTTCTACTAAACATCCAGCCCTTCGCATTCATATTTTTCAGTCAAGTGCCTTGCTTGAGGAATAGTTTCACGAAAATGGAGACAAACCAAAATAACTTNTAATGATTACCATTCCATTATTTACACAAACCCTTCGATGACTTATCGGCTGCCTTGCTTGAGGAATAGTTTCACGAAAATGGAGACGAACCGGAATAACGTCCGATCTTGTTTCTGGATTGAGCAGAAAAGGGATATATGAAGTTCGTTCTGTTCTTCTGTGCGTCTCTGTGATGGGTAAATCTCCATGAAAAAGGGGCAACTTTCGTGTAGTTTGTGATTGGATGTAACTGTTAAGATTTTCTCTCGAATAAATCTTTCTCTTAATAGATATCTTCTTGTTCCTCAATCTTCAAAGAATACGGCGTTGTATTATTGTAAGTTCTCTGTTCCAAACATTTCTTAAAAGTAGACAACAAGTTTTAAATCTTAATGCAGGCAAGGCATATTAGCATTGTATTGGTGCTATTTTTTATAAGTTGACATCAAAAGCACGTACACAATAAAATTAAAATATATAAGTCATGTTATTGGGGTTTTTTGATATTTGTTAAAACTTATCTTTAGTTAATGATGTGGCGTGTGTTAAGCAAATCATTGTTTGTGATGAGGAACTCTATGCATGTTTTCCTGAATTACAAGTGATAGTTAGCCGTTCATTTGCTACTCCACCAGAGGTTTGGCTTAAGCGTTTGTCATTGATAAGTTAGACATTTTATTATATAATTGATTGTTAAATATTTCATTTATCATAGAGATTTTGAACTACTACCGTCCACCGAGACGTTATGTCATTGCTTCTATTGATGCAACACCATCTCTAGAGAATATATTTTGTTTGAGTAATGTTAAACTGATTAAAATTTGAGACTAAATTTAGAACTCAAATGACATGACAGTTAATTATTTAAAATATTTATTGGGGCCCAAATAACATAACATCAATCAAAGAAACCCAAGTCAACTGTCATGTCATTTGAGCTCCAAATTTAATTCCAAAATTTAATCAATCTAGCATTACTGATTTTGTTTTCATTCTTTGTATACTTGTTTGTGGGCTGCAAGTTTGTTTTTGGCAAAATTTTTTAAAGTTAAATCTTGGTATATGACTTATCATAATTGATTGTGTCCCAACATGGGTAATTGACAGATTCTATTGTCCATGTTTGATGTAGGTTCTTCATGTTTTAATCTCCAAATTGTTAATTTATGAACTAACATTATCTCAACTAAAATGAACCCTTGAAATGGGTAGATTGTTACGTACCTAACTTTTAGTATTATTTGCAAAAATTTATTGTCCAAATGTTCAAATCTAGAATGTCAAACTCAAATTATCTCAAAAGGATTTGAGTATAATGACTAGTTATTATAAATATGAATTAAAAAAAATAATAACGTAACACAAATCTAATTACCTAAACAATTCATAGTAATGTAGCCACATGAAGCTTTGCAAGTTCAAGTTTTAACTTAAATGCTTAATCATCAACGGATCATGAGATGCAACAATTTGGATCATCTTAGAGTTATCGGGAATTAAATGATTATCAAACAAAGAACAAAAATATAAATCAAACAAAGGAGTTCAATTCATTACATTCCTAACACAAAAACAACTTCCAATTACACCCACAGAACCTTTTCTAAACAGAAACTAAATAATTACAACAACATAGTAGAAACTCTAATGTCAGAAACCCAAAAAAAAACCCAAATTACCCCTCACCTACCCAAATTCCCCAATTTTCATCTTCTTGACAGCGAGACTTTATCGAGTCAGAAACCCTAACCACCAAACCCGTACAGAGTCCTACCCTGCCTCTTCAATGCATAGACCACATCCATGGCCGTCACGGTCTTGCGGCGAGCGTGCTCAGTGTAGGTCACAGCATCACGAATCACATTCTCGAGGAAGATCTTGAGCACACCACGAGTCTCCTCATAGATCAGCCCACTGATACGCTTCACGCCTCCTCTGCGAGCCAAACGGCGAATCGCCGGCTTTGTTATGCCCTGGATGTTGTCGCGAAGCACCTTTCGGTGACGCTTCGCTCCCCCCTTTCCCAATCCCTTGCCTCCCTTTCCACGTCCAGACATTCTCGATTAGCAACAACACAGAAATCTCGAAACTGTTCGCTTTTCTATAAATTGAGGAAGACCATTAAAACATAGTTTAGCGATCAGAGAAACTCCCAAATTTACAACTCAAGCAACCGAAATCGAGAATCAACAATGAGTCTCAGAAACCCTAATTTTCCAATTGACAGGGTAAAATCCACGTGAATGGATTACCAATTTGTCCACTATACGAGCCAAATTACAGTAGGCAAACAAAGAACAACTAAACTTCTAGTAATGCTTCAAAATTAACGTATCTATGAGAAAGAGAGAAAGAGGCTGACCTTAAATCTGACCTTTCCTCCTTCCTTAAGCTTCGAACCAGATGTAGGAATGCTTATTCAGCTGGAACGGTACCTTGAGGTTTTTATAGTGGAGAGACGCTGGTAGTGGATCCATGTCTATGGTTTGAAAGAACCCTTATTTGCCGTCAATCGTCTATCCAAGGGCTAGGAATGTGTTTTCACACTGAACTCGGATTGATGACATGGCAAGAGACGATGCCATTGGTTGTATATCCTGCTAAAGCTTCAAGAAAGAACATAAAAGGGCTGTTCTTTCTTTTTCCTTTTTGACAGGTAAAACGTTGTTTTAAAATAACTAAAATCGTCGGAAACTCTGACATGTTGATAAAAACTTAACATGAATAATTATAAATTAACATAATTATTAAATAGATATAATAAATAGTCTAAACTAGTATTTAATACTTAGAATTTATTAAATAGATTTTTTTAATAGGTCTTAACACGAATAATAATAATATGACACTTTTAACACCCCTAAAAAATTGGAAGAATAAAATGTTGAAGTTATACATTTTTCATCTTTCAAGGGATGAATTCTTATTTTCATCTTTTGTGTTTGGTAAGAATGATAAAAAATAGAAAATATTGATTTTTTGTATTTGGTAAGATGAAAAAATTATTTGTTTATATTTTATTTTATTTTTTTAATTTTTTATGAAAAATATAAATATATATTTTATTATTATATCTATATACTAGTCATAACTCATGCCTCAAGGTACGATAAAACAAAAAATTCGAGTTCTAAAAAATCGATATCACTATATTAAATAATAATTTTTCTTTCTTCATTCATTTGATTAAATCATTCAAAATTTATTTTTACCCATTATTTTCTTAAAGATATTGACAAATTTTCTCAAAATATGTAATTCGATAAATTTTTTTAACAGATCTATACTATCGTATATGGATAATATCTAAAACAAAAATTGTGTTAAATTATAAGTTAATTAAATATTAAATGAATTTTTTATTTTTTTTTGGGAAGGGAGGGGGAAGGGGGATTTGAACCATTGACTTCAAGAAAGCAAAGCCTTCACAAGACAAGGAGTACCATTGGACCAAAGGCTGATTGAATATGTGATAGAAATGAATGATGTGATGGTTTTTGAGGGAGAAATGTATAGGGGATAAAATTTAACTTCTTATGTGTTTTATTATATAGATTTGTATAGATATAAGGAAAAATTTCATCCAGATCTCCTTTAGTTATGTTTAAATTTAATGACACCTCCTTCCGATTTTGAAATTTCACTGTCACTCCCTTTTAGTGATTGTCGGGTTACACCGTTAATGGTAATGATTGATTTATAAAAATATCTCCAAGTATTTTATAGGGTAAATTTTATCCACACTCCTTATAAATAAACCTAACTTTAACAACACTCCTTGTAAATAGACCTAACTTTAACAACACACTCTCTTGATTCTGAAATTTGAATGCACTTATTTTCAGTTCTATTATATTAGCCTTTATCTTAATCAATTTTATCAAATTAATTTTCTTTATTTAATTTAAACTAAATTAACATTTCATCTCATCTTATCGAATCAACACAAAATTGATATTTAATTTTAACAAATTAGCATTTAGTTTTATTAATTTAAAATTTCATTTCATCAAATTAATATTATTTCTTTAATTTAATATTAAGTTATTATTTATTTTTATCAAATCAACATCAAATTGACATTCAATTGAATTAAACTATTTAATTTATTAAATAGAATATTAAATTCTATTAATTTAAAATTTAACCTTATCAAATTAATGTCATTTCTTTAATTTAACACCAAATGAACATTTAATTTTATTAAAACAACATTCAAATTTATTCAATTAACATTAAATTCAATCAAATTAATATTTAATTTTATCAAATTAAAACTAAATTAATATTTAAACTTATCAAAATTAAGATCAAATTTATTCAATTAATATTAAATTTTATCAAATACTTTTAAATTTTATATATGAAGTATGATGTGTGAGGAGAGATCGAGCGACGTTGTGGAGGACATATGATAGCAGAAGAATTATAAATGAATGAGATTTTGACATTGTCTTTATCGATTGTAATTTTTATTATAGAAAAATTATTTTTAACTATAAAAATTATTAAAATTAAAAAATATAAAATTTATAAAAAACTTGATTATGTAACCAAATCAGTGATAATATGATGACTAATATTATAACACAGTTATAATACAACGTTTTAAAATAAAAAATTTATTGGGATAATATAATAATTGAAATTACGTTTGTTAGCTAGCTAGCGTATGTATAATGTGAAAATAATTGATGACATTTTAGTCTATTTACATAATAAATGGTAATTTTAGTATTTTCACAAAAGATTTAATTAAATCATTATTTTATCTCCTGATAGAAACAAAAGTCATTATTGTAGGAATTGTCATTAAATTTAAACTCAACTATATGGTGTATAGATTAAATTTTTCCTAGATATAACATGTAGATATAATATGTTTTCTATCTTTGTACTATATATGTACAGTAAAGATGTGTGTGTGTGTGATATGGACAGTAAAGATGAAGAGCAGCTACATTATAATAGAATTTTGAGGAGACATGTGTCTCAGTTTGGAAGGAAAATCATGAAAGATGAGAGTGTGAGAGACAGTTAATGTCTCAGTATAGAAAATAATCCCTTAACATAGAAAATAAAATCAAGGAAATATTTATAAGAGTTGTAATTTGTATTTTAGGGAGAGAGAGAGAGAGAGAGAGACAAAGTTGAGGAATGAGATATCACTTAATTGCCGGATTTGATTGAGTTAGGGAATTAAATTTAGGGATGTTAGTTTTAGAAACTAAAAGTTTTGAGCGGCAAAAAATTTCAAGAGTTAATATGGTACGTAGGATCGAAACGATTTGAGACGTTAATAGTTTGAGATAGTTTGAAATATCTTCGGCTGTTGGATGATGCCTTTTTTTATCTCGAAATAATCTGAGCCGCTCTTTATCTCTTGAATTCAAAATCGTTCTACTTTATTATATATATGAAATTAATGTATACATATGATATATGTATATATCTATTGATATATAAACAAATAACATATATTTCAACACACATAAATTAACTTTTCATTCACTTTTCTTCTAATTTTGAAAGGATTGATTTGGTAAGTGACAAGAAAAACTAATTCATCTACTTTTTCATCCTTCCTATTTTATTTCCTTATGAAATATGATATTTTATCTATTCCTCCAACTTTTCATCATTTCATTTTTTTTCATTTTCCATCATACCAAATGAAGTATAAAAGATTTAAATATTTTCATATTATACTCCGATTAAATTTCTTATATATATTTTTTGATAGATAAATGATAAATTTTATATATAAAAAACTAGATATACAATATAGCTCATATCAATGGAGATTTAACCATTTATTCAAATTATCAATGGTTATATTTCATTATTCTTTAAATATTTAATGGTCGTATTCTATATTCCTTTAAATTTGAGTCTCTACATTGAAGTATTTTGTATCAAATCAAATTTTTTATTTAAATATTAATTCAAATTGGAGTAAAAATTTAAGTCAATATTAAAGATGTTCAAATATTATCCCACAAACGTACGTCAATAGGAAAGCCCTAGGCTACACTACAAAATAAGTCCTCCCTTAACTGAGAGGCAAGAGACAAGTGTAAACAACACATTCTAAATAATAAGGAATTTAACTTCTCTTCGAGACCTTTAAGGTAAGTTTGATTTAGGTACAAACAAAGGATGAGATTAGGAAACTAATTATCATCCAATCCATAAAAATGGCGTTAATAAAAGTACTATTAAATCTTATCCTTGTATAATAAGTTTAGATCAAAGTTGAGATATTATATAAATCTAAAATTATAATACCAAATTTATATTGGGATTAAGTAATAGTATATGGTATTAAATTAAAAATGATAAAAAAAAAATGTTGAGGGTAAGAATTTACATAATGTGTAACTTCTATATGAATGTGTGACTCTAAGTTTGCAATAATAATAAAGTCATTGTATTTTTAATACTTAACTTGTTAAAAATAATAGGAAAAATTATTAATAAGTGATGATGCACAAAATGACTTTGCACTCCACCTGTCAAGTGATAGAAAATATATGCAGTAATTAAAAGTAAAGAGAAATGCAGGAAACAAGATTTATAGTGGTTCGGTCAATCGTGATTTACGCCCACTTTTGAATGGTCTTAGTCGCCTGGAACTTTATTAGCTCAAGGGTATAGGGAGTAGAGAGTACAAACTTTTGAGAGGGGGAGGAGAGTTGTGCTTAAGTAAAAGTGTGATGCCCATGCCCCCCAAGTGTTGGTGGGGCTTACAATTTATAATTGCCCTCTTAACAGACTTGGGTGAGATAATAGCAACTAAATAACAACTCTGGCGGAGCACGATTTCTCTTCAACGGGCGAGGTGGTTGAGGTGCTCTCCACAAGACCCAGTCAAAGAGGAGGTGAGGTTTGACTATTTTCAATGCGGTGAGAAGAGGCTATCGGATGCTCTCTTGATGACGTAGTCAAGCTGATGAGTTTTACTGGACCTGAACCTCATTAGGGTTGTTGGGTCTTTATAAATTTGAGTCTTTGATTATGTCTGGGCTTTCAACATGGATTTGGGCATTTTGGGCTTGACCCATCAATAAGTATTTCTTTTCTCCAAAAAAATCCATTAAGTTCGTTTTTTTTTGTTTTATATCAATCAAGTCTTATTTTTAGTATTTTATTTTAATTAAGTCCTAATTCAATTACATTTCAATTTTATCCTTTCCTTTTAATTACCAAAACACTTTTATTCTTTTGCATTCTTAGAGCATCTCCAATCATTGCCTCTTTTAAACCCAAATTTAAATTTAGGTAAAAAAAAATCTTAAAAACCTTCTTTAATGCTAAACTCATACTCGTATCAAATAAAGGAATACTCATTTTTTTATTCAAATCAAATGAGACTCAAATTCATCCTGAAATCTTTAATTGTGATATTTCACTATCATTCAAAGAGTCAATGGTTATATTTTATCCTCATTTAAATTTGAGTTTGTCTTCATTTAAATTTGACTTCTTTTCTTTTAAAATTGAGTTTCTTCATTTGAGAGGTCTATACCAAATTAAACTTTTTATATTTTTTTTTCTCAAATTTGGGTAAGGCAGCACACTATTGGGGCATTTCGATTGTTATGTGACTTTGTATTCTTTTTGGTGTGTCAACTTTGACTGCACACCCTTTAAACTTTTCAATTGCTATGTGATGTGTTTTCTTCTTACAAATTAATTCTTACTTCAATTAAAATAATATTATTATATTGCGAATTCTATTGATATATTATCTCGTTGGTTTTAAATTATTATATTAATTTATATTAGATTTAAAATGATTAAGTTATGAATTTATTTTAGTTGTTATGTTTAATCAATAATGACGTTAAAGTGAAATTAATCGACAAATTTATTGATTTAATTGTTTAACCTTTCTTATTTTATTAAATATTAGACAAATATTATCTCAGGTTTTAAGATTGAGTACCCCAATGAGATAAGAAGATAAGAAAATGTGGATTTTTTTGGATCTTACCGTGAAATTTAGGTTAGTTTTTTTTTTTTTGTTAAATGGGATTTCAATGTTAGTTTTGTAAGCAATAAATTTTTGTTTTCTTAATTGGTTATAAGAATGCAAAAAAATGAAAAGGTTTTGGTAATTAAAGGGTAAGGATAAAATTAGAATATAATAAAATTTAAGACTTAATTAAAATAAAATATCAAGAATAGGACTAAATTGATATAAAACAAAAATGATATAACTTAATGAATTTTTTCTAAGAAAATGTAATACTTATTGGTAATTTTTCCAAAATAATATCACCTATTACATGGTATTTATTACTATATAATATTAGGTGTTAAATGGCGATAGTGAACTGGATCAGGATTAATTAAGACTAATACTTACTCGCTATAACCTCATCCAAACTTAGTTTAATATTATTACTAAATTAAATTATAATCAAATCCACCTCCTTATACTTAAGGTATTTATATTTGATCTTCTAGCCTTTAAACTTTTAATCATTTCATGGAGCTTTTCTCTTGTTTTTTCTCTTTAAATGAGATACCATTTTCAAAAAGATCATCATCAAATGAATTATCAAGATCTTTCTCCAACTCCTCGACCTTCTTATTCTCCTCTACATAGGAAGTGTCAACTCCTATATCTTTTAATAGCAAAAAATAAAAATAAAAATTCCTATACCTTTTTTCAAGTTGAGAATTAATTGGACTTCCAAACTCTAGAGGAGACCTCAAGCAAAGAACAATAAAAGGCTTTGATGATAATTCTCTTTCTCTAATGTTTCTAGTTCCTTCCACCAAATACATTTCTATCTTATATTTTCTTTCGCTTTAAGGAGCATCACGCCATTCATTAATACTCGACTATCTAATATGTTCAATGTATCTTATATTCAATATATTAAAAAAATTATAATGTGGTATTTCAATTAATTTTTATTATTTATTCCGTCAAAATCTATCACATTAATTTTGACCGAATGAACAAAAATTATAAAAAAAGTTACGTCGTAACATTTTCAATATATTTAGGGTATAATATAAAAAATATAATATTTGAAGCTGAAAAATAAGAATATGTATATCCCCACTCAACTCTTTATTAACTTAAAATGCTTAGTTCATTGATCACTATATATAAGTGGGTTCTAATATTTGTTGCCATTCATTGTGTATTCAACGGTCATGATTAATTAACGCATTTTAAGTGGGTCCCAAATTAAGTTAAAATTTTCCAGAATGTTTGACCTGCGAATAGAAAACCGAAGCTTGACAGGAAGATCTCATCGACTCGCAGTCAGCGATGCTATTATCCGCTCGAAACACAAAGCCTTGGCGGAGTCTTCCGCCATTTTTCGCTCTCTTCCGTTGCCTCCGCCGCGCCGAACTGAAGTTCTCCACTTCCTCATCTTCAGCCAAGGTCCAAATTCAACTTTCTCTATTCAGAAATTTCGTTTTCCTCCGTTTGGTTGCCATGAAAATAAAGGAAAAACAAATACAAATTGAAATTTTCAGTTAATATTAATTCACTGATTGTTTAAATTTGTAATTGAATCATTCCCTCAGACATCGCTCTATTTACACGAGGTCTATGATGATTTCTTGCCGTGGTTGGAGCAGAAGGCTGGGGCTGAGATTTCTTCGGTGCTTTCGATTGGGAAATCCGCTTATGGCAGGTCTTACAAGTTACAACGTGTTTCCAACTGCTAAAACGACCGTTTTTAAGCTATCAATTGCCGTCACTGACTTATTTGCTCTGATTGTTAGTATATATTTATTTTTCGTCATGCATGTTCAACTGTAATATATGAGTGCAAATTTAGCTCTCATAAGTATATTAGTGATCCATAGAAACATTCCTGCACTTATATTTGTTTTTTTTTTGGGTGGTATTAATTATCCGAACAATTTGATTTCATCAAACATTTTCTATACTATATATATATAAAACAATCAATTTTTTTAGAAAGAGGGCTTCATAAGCCTTGCCTCCCGCTTTTCTAATTTTTAAGAATTTTGAATTATGAAATTAGAAATGCTATGTTGCCTATATCAAAACCCAAATTTTATATCCCAAATGCACGTGCACCACATTTTGAATAAAAGAATTGATATTTTGGGACCCACAAAGTGATAAGTGTGGTGCACATGCATTTGAGATGCAAGATTTGGGTTTTGGTTTGGGCAGCATAGCAGTGCTCTTATTAAATTCCCCATTCTCTAATCATATTTTACCAAATGCCTCAAATAACTACTCATAAACTCCCTCTAACCACCACTTATTAAAATTATTTTTTTAAACGCCAAATTTGCAATTCAATAATTCCTATAATATTTTTGCTAACTTATAAAAGAATGAGTAGTAGGGAGTAAAAGATGAAGAAGGGAATTGGGAGGAGAAGGGATGGCCAGTGCATTGCACGTGTGGGATGCTAGTACATCATATTTCATTTGTGGTGTACTGTTGTGGATAAAATTCGAGTTGTTGTTGTCTTACATTATTGCAGTTGCAGTATTTTAGTTAATATGAAAGTATGCACATAATGCAGGTCATTGTACGCTTCTAAGCCGATACAAACTGGGGATTGCATATTGAAGGTTCCTTACAGCGTGGTATGCCACATTTTTGGACCCTTTAGGGTGCATCTTGAAGCTATGAGCATTATGGACTCTGGTTGAGGAATTTTTTGAATTTAATCTGCAGCAACTAGCTCCAGAAAATCTCCTTCCAGCAATTAATTATTTCTTAGGTGATGGAGTTGGTAATGTTGCAAAGCTTGCTATAGTCATTCTAGTTGAGCAGAAATTGGGTCAGGTACTACTTATATTGTGTGTTTTAAGCTTCATATGAATTGCTAAATTGTGTTGATAATTGAGCATGTATAAAATTTGTGCACATCAACAGTGCTTTTTGGCAGAGGCTTTTTGGGTTGCCATTTCAAGCTTTTATGTTGATACTGGGGAGGATATTTAATGCTGAATGGCTACTTTTCTTATACTCCATTCTATGGTACAGGATTCTGAATGGGCTCCATATGTCAGCCGTCTTCCACAGCCTGAGGAGATGCATAGCACTGTCAGCACCTTTTCTTTGTCCTTAATGCATATCACAAACATTTCATATGGATAGTGAATTATTTATTGGCTGATGCTATTTGTTTGCTTATGGTTCATCTGTTGAGTTTTAGCAATCTTTTTTGGACATTAAGAAACCTTCCTCATGCCGCGGCTTTATAAGGGAAATTTATTTCGTTTTATTTTTTTTTTTTACAAAAAAGAAATCCATGAGATAAAATCATCATTATTGGTATAGGAACTTCAATGGAAATAGTTGAAGTTCAATGGTCAAGATTGGAGAATCAAATTAAAAATGTTATTTTACCATAGTGTGCTGCCTTACAGTAGTCAAGGTAAAATTCTTGGTTTGGGCAGGGCAAAACGTAGAAGTGGCGGAATATGTATTTGTTGAAAAGACAAATAATGGACTGTTATCTTAGCCCATTTCATTTATACTTTAAAGTTGAGCAGCTTGGCAGCTGTTTAGATGCTCCTCCATTTTTAACTGGCAAAAGTTCTTCTGTCCACATTCCCTCTTCATTATCTTCTTGTCCATCTTTTCTTTTCCCCTCAGAAAACCAGATTTCCAGAGGTTGGGATGCCTCAATATCTATATGTGCAAAATCTGTGAGCATTTTTTAATGGATCAAGTTTCTATAGGATGTTTAAAATAGATGCTTTTTTTTTAATCTTTTTAGGTATTCTGGAGTCATGATGAGTTGGAGATGATTCGACCAAGCTTTTTGTATCAGGAAACCATTAAACAAAAGGCTCAAATTGAAAAGGAATTTTTGGCAAATAGACCAGTGAGTAATTTATTTTTAGTACACAAGTTAAATCTGTTACTGGCTATTTTATATCTCTTACTGGTGGTGACTTATTTCGATTCACTTGATGTTCTTTTTCCTAGCTCTCTTCTTGTTTTTATACTACTCGACAAGATTGAGTTGCCCAAAATTGCAAGAAAAAACAAACAGATTGAGTTGATGTAGTTGCTTATTATCACTGAAAGTTGTATGGCATTGTAGAGACTTTTACTGATTGCTTGCAGTTATTGAGTTTGTACCATCTGCCAAAGCCTCCTTATTTCCAAGGGGCATAACCTCATCTAGGTTGTTCAATGTGTTGAATGAAAACTATTAGTATAAGACTACGTCATTTTTTTGATGTTTTATTCTTCTGTTTTACAGCTGTCTAGGTCTTTAAATTAAGTTGTATATATGTGATTGGACAATAAAGCTGTAATATCTTCTGCTTTATGGCTTTCTGAATGTTGAGCTTCCAAACATTTTTCACTGATATGTTTTGGCTTTGGTTTCAGGCTCTTCGTTACTTCTCTAATGTTCTTGGAGATGTTACATTAAAGGAGTTTAGACATGCATATGGTTTAGGTATGATATTTCCTTTGATGTACTTGCCAGTTAAAATGGACTTAACAGAAAGCCTTTTAGTTCTTTGGCTATCTTTGTTCATTAGATTAATATTTCACCGGCTAGTGTTTAACTTTTTGATTAGATTTTTGAACGTTGTTACATGTTTTTCATGGTATGCAATAGGGTGGTAAGCAAATGACATATTGGATTATCACAATATGATCAGGTTTAGCCGACCCCAAATGATTGGGATGTAAGGTTTGGTTTAGCCATAATCTGAATTTGCTATTTTAAAGAATTTTGGAGTTGATGATTAATTCTCTAATAGTTGTAAGTAGTTTCTTGTCCTTCATGGTGCACTTTTGTTGTTCAATTCTTAAGAAAATTCTTTAAAAATCAACTAATAATACTAGTTAATGGATAAGTGAAGGCCTTTTTTGGTTGGTTTGTCAAAATATTTTCAGATTTCACTCTTTAAATAGTTAATCTTTCCTCAACATACTAGTTTAAAATGTAAAGATACTCCCAAACTTGGCTTATTGGTTTCAGAAATTCATTATGATTGACAAAATGATCTGATAAACTTAACAATAGAGAATTAATGTATGTGAAGGTATGAGATTACTACACATTTAGGGCCGAAAATTTGTGTAAAAGGAAATCAAAGTTCACCTTTATATAGTGCATAGTTTTTTGTATATAAAATTCTCTGGTTTGGCATTTTCTTTAGTTGCATATATTCAAGGTTTGTTAACTCACTTTAGCAATTTCTTTGTAATCTTTTCAGTTACATCTAGAGCATGGCATAGCACACAGGGCGTATCCATGGTATCATTATGATTGACTCTCTTATCTTTGCAGTAGTTTCATGGTTGTGTGAAGTGTAACTTGTGATTTGATGCCTGTTCTTGAAGAAAATTTCTTCATTTAGTGAGGGGCTTTATAGATTCCATTTGCAGATTTTCTAAATCATGATGGCATTTCAGAGGCAGATGTTTTGAGTGATGAAGGCAAAAAACACTCAGAGGTGTCTCTCCATCTCCTCCCTTCTCTCTCTCTCTCCCCACCCCCCCTTTCTCTTTCTCCCAACAAAAAAAATGTTCACTTATCTGTCTACCTTGTTATTATTGATTCTTTTCTTGCCTTCTGTCTAGTCTTGATTGTAGTAGTAGCATAGCACATCTTATGCTAGTGGAGTATTGTTTTATTTTTTTTATTGCGTTTTGTTTGTCGTTTGTGGTGTTAGAATAGTGTTAATTTTAACTTCGGCAATTGTTTCACATGTTGATTCACCAATACTTTCTCATCTGTCATTGCTAATGACCTCAAACTTCATGTTATTGAACTGATTTCTAAGCATTACTTTATCTTAAATGGTGTTTTGTCTCTCTTCTTAATTGCATACAAAAATTCTGTCCCCATCTACTTATCCAACTCATTTGGTGGTGGTTTCCGTTTTGACTTCATATTATGTCATCCTACACTGATTAGTTGCATTGTTCTTTCCCCTAGGATTTTTTTGGTTTCCACATCCTTCTGGGTCATAAAATTGCACCATGGGATTTGTTTTTATTGAGTGATGTTTTTTTTTTGGCATGTCAGAATTTCTGTAAGAAATATTCAAACCATAAACTCACAGTACAAAGTACACTCTAAGCCTTATATTGACACTTTAATAGCCATACAACGCAGTCCACTTGAGATTTTTAAATTCCTCGCTGGCCAAATAACCCAAAGAATTGCTAGAAATGCACAATCCCAAAGTGTAGTTCTTCTTTAAACTCCTCCAAAGCCCTAAAAATACACACTAAAAATAAAAATAGATGCAATGGTTTGTGGGGCCACCCAAGGAAGCCATGTTTAATCAAACTACTTATTCTACAATGCTGATGCAATAGGACAATGTAAGAATAAATGATCCAGATCCACACTCTCACCAATCACCATCACCTCGACACATAACGCACCATTGTGGAGAAAGACAAGCATAAGATATTATTCTTTGAAGCATATCATTGGTGTTCTGAGATTTCTAATTTCCAGTGATTATCTTGCAGGTTATTGCTGATCGTAATTATGCTCCTGGTGATCAGGTGTGGTGCAGCATCCACAAATTGGTTTCTATACTGAATCATCATACTTTCGCTTAATTTGACATTTCATTGGTTTAAATTTTCTAAATTCGACCAGTTTGGTTTTTATATTTGATAGCTTAGGCTATCTGAGACTGTAATAGTGACCACAGACAATCTTAAAGCTTCTTTATGGCCGGCCTTGCATCAGTCCTGTCTACGCTATCTGGTTGATTAATGTTCTCCTCTACCAGGGCCTGTATGTTTTGAATACTTCTACTCTGAACAACTCCAGTAACTTTGCTTAAATAACCAACACCACCTCCCCTCCATCCAAGAAAGGAAAACGAAAATAACAACAGAAGTAATAGGTTAATTTGTGCTTTATGGTAAGTAGGCATGTCAATGGACTGGATTTTAGTTCGAATCTGATCTGAATCATTTTAATTGGACAGGGACAAATATTTTCATTTGTTTATCCGAATCTGAATCCGAGTCCGTTTAAATATCTTAAATCGGACATGGATATGAATAGATACAAATCTGGTCCAAGAAAAATCCAACTGGTTAATATATACATATGTATAATGTATATATACAATAACATAATTTATAGAAAATATATATGAAATATACACACACATGTATGTGTGTGTGTGTATATATATATATTGATTATTTGTTGAAACTTTGGTGAAATACCATTACGGATAGGATCGGATGTCTAATTATTAGTGGGTTCGGATACGGACTAATATTTTTATATCCATCGGGTAAAATGATCGGATTCGGTAACAAATTTTTTAATTGGAGTCGGATAGGCCTAGATTTGGTCTGAATCCGATCCGTTGGCAAGCCTAATGGTAAGGGTGCTTGTGCCTACATGCTTCTTACAATACAAATTCTCTTATAACAAATATTGTCAGTCTCACCTGTAGTTTTTTGAGATCAGTTACTCTAAGTGCTTGTAATAACTTAAAGCTACTGTGCAGGTCCTAATAAGATATGGGAAATTTTCCAATGCTACACTCCTGTTGGACTTTGGGTTTACGCTTCCATACAACATTTATGACCAGGTTAGTCTGATGTCTCAAATTGAGAAAATTTGTGGTTATCTTTTGAGAAATGATGGATTCTAATGCTACTTAGATGAGAATATTGGATACTACCCTTGTCAATGGAGGTAACTCACTATATGTTTTTTCTGCTCTAGCAGATCTATGTACATATATTTTCTATAGACCATTACCACTCAGCAAAATTTTGTATTTTGTCTTGTTATGATAGCTATTCATGTTCAACCACACCTTCCCATTTCTTGTTTTATGTCACAGTGGGTATGTGCTTTTTTTTTTTTTTTTGATTTGTGTTGGGTTGGGGGGGTTGTTAATGCTATTTGTGGAGAACTCTTTATCTTGTTGGAAATGTCCATTTAGTGGGGTTGGGAGAATTTCAAATTTGAGTAACCTAAGTTTTTTTAGTGCCAATATCTTGTGCCCAAAGCTATCAAGTAAATCATTGCACGGTTCCCCTTTGAGTAGGAAATATCTAAAAAAATCATTTGTGCATGACCTCTTTTCGTTAACTTTCTAGTTTGTAGGGGGAGATATTATAATTACTGTTGAAGCTACCCCCCTCAGACACTATAAGCAGATTAAAAGCTTCCATAGTGTGTGTTTTGAGAATGATTTTGGAGAATACTTTCTGTTGCACCATCTTTAGGCCTCTATAAAATGCCCCAAGCTCTCTATTGATGCATGTGGCAGGGTTGAGTCTACCATGGAATCCTGTAATCCAATAGCCCTGCTTGTCCTTGATGATGCCTCCCACGCCTGTTGGGCTTGGGTTCCCTTCTGAGCAGCCATCTTTATTAAGCTTTAACCAACCTAAAGGAGGAAAGGACAATCTTTTTTGTCTAATCATACTTGGTAGTTTTTCCACTTTAAGATTCTGGAATGCATTTTCTATTTTTAAAATAAAGTTCTAGGCTTGTTTAGCTGCAGAGTGTGAGCTTGAGGTGGTCATGTCAATGCACTTTATTTCTATCCTTCCAGATACGCCACCCGAAGGATGTGAAAAGAATAGGCCATGATATAGTTTTCCAAGTTTTTACTTCCCTATCCTTATAATTCACATGGATCCAAAAGTGCAGCCGTGCAGGCTCAAGTTCAGATATTGTCTCTTTCTTGATTCATTAAGGAAGATACTTCAAATTCCCAGAGCTTTTGGAGAATCCCTTAGGTTGTGTACATTATTTTCATTTAGAGCACCACATCTGGTACAACCAGTATCATTACTAATTTCCTTGTGGCTCTTAAGAGATAACCTCTCATTTCTCAACTAGCCACAAGATATATTTTAGTTTTTGAGGAACTTCTAGCTTCCATAATCATTCCCAATGACTAATAGTGACCATAGGCAGCCTTGGTTGAGAACTTAACATTGTGTGTCGCTTACTTTTAATACATACTTTTGGTGCATAAGACCTCCCCCACCCCCTCCCAAAAGATTAGTTTTGGTAGGCACACAAATTAACCATAGATGCATGCATAGTGAATGACGTTAGCCTGTTTGTGTGACATTTGATATGGCCATTGGTTTTTTGTGATTTAGTAGTTGAGATAGTTATTTTTTGGGGCTATTCATTGAATTTAGGTTTATGGGGTTCCAATGAATCATTGGTGGGCTTAATTCATCAGAAACAGCAGTGCATGTTTGAGGACTAAGTCATAATTAATCTTTTCTATTGTGGTGTCACATGATGTGATATCCTAGAATGCTGGCAGGATGCGGAAATATGAGGAAATTCTTCATGACAACCAAATATTTCCGGATGAGTGTTAGTGGCATTTATTTATTTATTTTTTCATACCTAATTTGTTGTCTTTATATTTGTTTATATGGATGTGATAAAAATAAATAAATATTTGTTTATATGGCATTAATCACTTAAGTTTGAAACTTTATCTCAGTCAGATGTTTATTTATTCATAGCTAACTGCTTGTTTATCTTCTCCAAATTCTGGCCTCACATTGATGCGAATGACATTGGTTACCCTCAGGTTCAGGTAGAGCTCAGTATTCCTCATCATGACCAGCTCCGGGCAATGAAGTTGGAACTTTTGCGTAGACATTGTACACCGACCATTAAAGATGTCAATGGCTTCAGCTCTTCTGAGAATATGTTCACAATCAAGTTGGTACTCGATCATGGAATTTGATTTCTCTAACATGGATGCTATTGAACATTGATTCCAACATTGAATTTTATCTTGCTACCTTCAATTGGAATGGGAAAAAGGGCAGAATAACAAAAGAAAAATCAAGGGCATGACAAACAGAAGAGGTAGAGAAGTTAAAGGTGCCAACTGCCAAGTCTATGTGCTCATTAATGGAGGCTGTTGGGAGGGGATAGACTAGTCTCGTTATATTATCTTGGATCTAGAGGGAATCTGAAAGAGTCTCAAAGCTGAACCGAAACATCTGGGCTATGATGGACCTTTTTCTTAGTAAAAGTAAAACTTCATCATAGTCATTCATTATGCTTTGCTGCTTCACTGGAAGTTGCGTGCCAGGTGGTTTGCTGATGGTCATTCCATAGTTTTTCTAAATGCAGCTACAATGAATCAGATTAAAAATGTTGAGTCAGGATGTAAGTAACAAATTTTAAAATGGTAAAGATGGAATAAACTGAACCAATAGAGGTGTAATTAGGGGGCATGAGGCAGATTTTTAATTTAGCATGAGAATGACTTAAAATTTGAATAAAGAGGGATCCATTTTGGATGATGTCAAATTTCCCCCACAGTTTGTATCAACAATGGTAATCAATAGATTCAAATGTGCCTGGCATTGGTCTTAGACCTATATTTATCTACAGTAATTAGTGTCTCCCTGTTTGATGTCAAAAAAGTGTATTTTAATACATGGAAAGTGAAACTTTGTTTATGGCCAATAAAAGTGATGTAAAACTCAAACATAGCACAATCACACACAAATGTTTTGCCACATTTGCAATTTCAATAGACTCAGCTTTTTGTTAAAAAAAATTAACCTTGTGAAAGGATATATATGTACCTCCTGTCAACTGTGTGAAACCTTGTGACTTTTTGCTAAAATATGATATTTCAGTAATGATGGTTTGATGGAGTCTTGAAACTCAAGAATAGATAGTAATCCACAGATAAAGCATCTGACAAGTTCTTTTTTGCTGGGTAAGTTTTGAAGGAACGATGTCAATATCTCGATCTGTCCTGCTATATTCTGATTGCTAAATTTAACAACTTGGCATGCAAATACCTGTACACCATGTTTTGGGTGGGAAAGGATCACTACCTATGTTTCTCTGATTCCATTTTGAGGTTGTTATCTGAGGGACTGAATGTTTTACGCTAATATGTTATTTAGATTTAAGTTGTGATTTTCTACCTCCACATCTGAAACTGATTTTGATTGATGATAATTTTGCAGTATCTGCATGCCTTGCTGCAACAGATGTCAATTTTATGCTTTTGTATCACTAATTGTTACGGTTTATGGGAGTAATTATTTTGACTGTCCCTCCTATTTCTGATATCTTTTCTGCAGAAAAGTGAGGTCTGCTAATGGGAAAGGGAGAGGAATCCCGTTATCGCTTCGTGCATTTGCTCGTGTTTTATGTTCCACCTCTGCGGCAGGTCTCAAATCATATATTTTTTTTTCCTGTCTGTAGGTTCAGTTGTCCAAGAGATGGAATCCCATTTACATAATGCTTATATCTGAAATTCTTTTAGTATGCAGAATTAGACGATTTGGCTATGGAAGCTGCACAAAATGATGGGCGACTGGCTCGATATCCGTTGAAGAACAGAAGCAGAGAGATTCTAGCTCACCAGTTCTTGCTTTCAAGGATTACCGAGTTCATTGAAAAGTATAGTGCATGTATAGAGGTAATGATCCACGAGTCTTAGCTTATTGATTGGAAAGGGTAGCAGGGATAGATTTTGGTATGAAGTAGAACCTTATACAAACAAATGGATCACCCCACAATTTTCACTTTGCTGCATCACAAATATCCCTTGGATTTTTGAGATGACTCTGTGTAAAAATTGAACTGCTTGAATTATATGTTTTGGTTGCTTATTTTACTATTATGTGATTTCGTAAATGATTAAAAAATTGTGACGTAGCTGCAATGTTGTCAAGGTCTGATGTGATTTGAATCTGTTCATCATGTTTTTCCTAGTCAACTCTGTTACAGCCTGTTATGTTTCTGAGGTGACATTTTAAACATGTCATTTTTCTGGTACATATTTTCTCACTGTATTCATTAACGTTTTACCTTTGACATCAAGTTCATGCAAATTATATATCTACATTTGGGTCTTGATTTTACCTTCACATCACCATCAGAACCTCACATCTGTTTCACCCTACAGATGGTTAACAAGTCTATAAAATTACTATATATTTCAGCATTATGTGTTTGCATGCACTTCAATGTCAATAGTAATTGCCAAAGAAAAAGAAAGACTTATATAACCGGATTGTCTCTGCTATTTTTATGTTTTTTTTTTCTGATTAGTATGATTTTAGATAAGTTTTTTGGGGCTTCTGTGTTGAGTTTTTTTAATCCCACTCAATAAACAATTGCATGAAATGCGCTTGCTTTTCTTGGTTGTTCACGAGATTTCTCATTGGTATTCTGTGAGTGGACAGTCATTGGGGTCTTCCGATTCTCCTTGTATATTTGGACAACTTGCTTTAAGGAGACAATTGGCTCGAGATCTCCTTGTTGGCGAGCTTCGTGTCTTGAAATCTGCTTCTGCATGGCTGAAGAACTACTGTGCAACCTCAGCAGAAATTCAAGAAAAACAATAAAACCTCTGATTCAAAGAAAGAAGGCGTGCTCAAATGGTTTTATACAGGTCAAAGTCATTAATTTGTGTAGCTACTGCCGTATAGAAGCCTTCATACTTACATTCAGTTCACTTGTCACCATATTTAGAGGACTACTCTGTCTGATTGTTTTGTTTCTCAGGATTCGATCTCTTGTGGTGTCCAACGCTGGAAAACAATGATCTTCACAGCGTTGGCACTGGCATGGAGCATCTGTACCCCATTCCTGTCCAGATATCGACGCCATAACTTTGGCTCTGCGCTTTTTTTATATATATTTTTTAAAATTTTTGGGGCTGAGGTATTGTATTGATGTTTGTAACATATTTCTGAGAATTGTTGACTCTGCGCCTTTGCAAAACATGTGCGCAATTGGGTTACCTTGATCTGTAATTACAGGTCCAGCAATTACTTTCTGAAAGAGGTTTTCATCAATCCCATTAATGTCTAACAACTTTAGTTTTGATCTAAGTGGTTTTCGACAAGGTTTGAACTCACGATCTTAAGGTCCAACAATGAGAACAACAAGGGGGTGGTCAGGCCAACCATCAACCTCGAACTTGGTTCAGTTGGCTTGTCAAAATTACACACTTACGGAGGTGGGTTAGACAAGTTCTCGAATCATATTTGTGTAATTATTAACACGGGTTGGAAGGGGTTCATTAATAGTATTTGTGCTTGTATCGTAAAAGATTGGAATTTGGTTATTCACCATGTAAGAGGATTTTTGCTAAGCATCCATAGTTGAATGGTTAAAGTGTTCAATTCATAATTAGAGAATTCGTAAGTTCAATTTTTATTTGGATGTAAGCCAACGAGACCATCCAGTAAGTTTATTGGAATTGACTCTATATCAATGGAATTTCATTAGCCCTGAAAAAATAGATTGACTATTTTTTTTTTTAGCTCAGAGAATACGATCGAGAGAAGTTAATTCAAATCCTTTGATAAGAAATTTGCCCTGACACGAACTATTGATTTATCAACATGAATGTAAGATAACATATTACATATAAATATTGGTTAAATCTATAACCTCAATATACTCTAATAAAAAAAAAAACCTCATAACAATAACTTAAATCCCGTTTGATAACGTTTATGTTTTTTGTTTTTCGTTTTTATTTTAATATTTAGAGAAAATAAGAAAAAAAAACTCGTTTGATAATCGTTTTTTTTTTGTCATCGTTTTGTAAACGAGGGGTGATTTTCAAAAATGAGAAAAAGACGTTTTTCGTTTTTTGATTCTGTTTTTTATTTTTTTTAAAATTAAAAATTGTAAACGTTACCAAACGAACCCTTAGTGATTGAATTGAGTCTTATTGATATCTCGAAGACTATGGTGTTATCTTTTATATTATATCAAAAATTAAAAATTTTAAAGGTCAAAATATAATTTTTTAGGGTATAAGTTATTGATGATGCACAGATCGGTCTCGTGCAAAATCAATAGTCAAGAATATGAATAGAGGCAATCAATGAACAATAAACAGACAAGTAATGGTAAAGCGGTAAATAAAGAGTTAACACACAGATTTATAGGTTCGGTTCGGGTGACATACTCTACTCTCGGGAACGACAACGGTGGTCGGAGATCTTTATTGATTAATAGTGTAACCAGGAGAATATACTCCGAGAATATTACAATGCTTTAGAAAGGAGAGAAATGATTTGTATAGGGGGAGGTGTAGAGGTTTCGGAGGTGTACCCTCAATATTGAGAGGACGTTCATTATATAGTTAGGGTAAGGCAGTGACGTGATTGAGAGGTCTTTTACTATTTTGGTAAGTATAATCTTAGTAGGATTAAATATCTGTATCTCGATATTTTTTTTCTCGTGTTCCTATTCTATCGGAGGATAATCCTAAGTCGGACTGGGCTTGACCCTGAGTCTGGACTGGCATTGGAATGGGCTAGACTTGAGTTGGAGTGGCAAGGAGAAGAGAGTGAAGGCAGCGCCCAGCCTTAGGCGGCGCCTTGGGGATGACTTTGGCGATGCCCTTGAATGCTTTGGGCGGCGTCCTCTTGGGTGCTTCCTTTTCATTTGATTCTTTCTTGATTTGTGGATAAATCTAACTCTTTTTTTCACTATTCAATACCCATAACACCATCTTGACTATTCAACACTCATTTTAACTGTTCAACTCCCTTTAGGCTCTGGTGATTTGGACTCCTTTTGATGGGTGAACCCAATTTTGATTGGACTTTCTCGATTTATTTAAATTAGGCATTGTCCAGTTACTTTCGAGTTTATCAGTTATAATTATAAAAAATATAATCAATCCAACATGTTAAGACTTATTCTGCATCATCAGCGGCGCTGGCGCAGATTTTTCTTCCTTCTGCCCAACTCCCCCCGAATATTGAGAATTGTTCCCGAGGCGAGGAAATGGTTGAATAATTGAAAAATGAGATTATTCAGGAACAGATTACTACGTGTTTTTCTTAAGATATGCGATTCTATAGGACTTATTACTATCTCTTTTACCACTTTATTCGTACATCGAGTCGGGGTATGTAGAATTTATTGGATGAAATTAAATAATTATATTATCCCAATATGATAATGCGACGTAACTGTTATATCCAACGCTTACTCATCCTTTATCCCCGTGACATAAGTGGAGCCCGTAGCCCCACTAACGGTCAAACATTTCCTCGTTGGAAGTCTCCGTAATTATCAGCAAAAAAGGGGGGCATTGTATTTGGTGCTCTTCTTGTTTAAGGATAACGAATCCAAGCCGTCCATACACCAAAGCCCGAGCATCGCCTTGAACAATTGAGGAGGGAGAGAGAGAGAGAAATCAGCAGTCTCTTCTCGATCTAGGGTTCAGTCTTACCGGTCGTCAGGTTTCTTTCTCTCTCTCTCTCTATACGATTTTTCGGCTTTGTCTTGCTACTGGCATCTCGTTGATCTATGTTTTTAAGTTTTTTGTTTTAAATTCATGAGTTATAGATCTGTTAATTAATTGGTGTTTTTTAAGTTTTTTGTTTTAAATTCATGGGTGTGTAGATCTGTTAATTAATTGATTTTGATGGTTTTACAATTAATGTAAAGTTTCTTATATGAATAGGAAAATTTTGTAATTGGATATGATTGAATACGCTCTTGGTTGTTGTTCTACGATGCGTTAGGGAGGAAGGAATTGGAGCTTAAGAATCGTAACTTGAGCAAAATTTGTCAGAATTTTTTTTTCAATTTTAATTTCAAGGCCTAAATTTCTTGCTGCTAAACGCAAGATTAGGGTAGATCCACTGATAGCGAATGGTAGGGCACTGCCTTTGAAGGTCATTGATGGTGTTTGTTTCAGGGAAGATGCCTCGTCATGATGATCGCCGTGGTGGTACGCGTCTGTATGTTGGACGCTTGTCTTCGCGGACACGGTCACGTGATTTGGAAGACATTTTCAGCAGATATGGAAGGTAATCGAATTTACCATTTTTTTTTTCCGATAAGAAACTACATTTTATTGATAAGTAATCAAATTTATCATTGAAGCAGTTAAGATGTTTTATTATAGTGCTAACTACTGATACAAACATGTCTCGACATGACACAATTATCGCCTCTAACCATTCTCAGAGTTTGTACGTCTAATTGTTTGGTTTCAACCTAATTTGGATTACATTTTTTGTTCCTTGTTATATTACCAACTTGAAATAGTGGTCATTTGTCTTGATATCTTTATTCAACATTTCTTTGAGAAAATTATTCCTTCCTGTTTGTCTCTGTGATTTGGTTTGGATAGTCCTTTGTGAAGGTTTTTGGGTCTATGCCCAACCTGGTCATCTATGGTGAGATTGCCTTTGGTGGACTTTGGCAATTTGGGTCTGGTTTCATCTATGTCAAGGTGGCTAGGGGAACCTATAGGTTTTGCCAAGCCTTTTTTGTGCTTGACATTGAGATTGAATCTTATTCAACATTTCTTTGAGAAAAGTTGCACCCTCCCTCGTGTCTCTGTGATTTAATTTGGATAATCTTTCTGAAGGTTTATGGGCCTATGCCCAACTTGGTGGTCTTTGGTGAGGTTGCCCTTGGTGGACTTTGGCGAATCTTTCTATAATGTTATTGCGTGTTTTTTTGATGGAATTGGCAACAATCTCAAAGTGGTGTTTAATTCATCTTTGAGGGGCGTAGTATCAACCCTTTGGTGCTGATGTCTTGATGGCCTTACTGTTTATGGCACCCATTTACGCAGAGTACGTGATGTGGATATGAAGCGTGAATTTGCCTTTGTGGTACACACTTCTTCACTCTGTTATGCCTCTCAATATTTTTTGTTGTTCCATGCTTTGTCGGATGTATTTCCCTTGGCCAATGTATATGTGTTTTGTGAATATGAGCTTCTCTGTCCCCTTTTCATTCACACCTGATTATAGGAATTTAGTGATCCTCGAGATGCTGATGATGCAAGATATAGATTAAATGGCCGGGAAGTTGATGGGAGTCGTATCCTGGTTGAATTTGCAAAGGGGGTAAGTTGGTTGGATTATATGCTTCTGCCAGACTTATTTGTTATCTATTCTGCTTGTATAGTTTTTTGGAATGTCTCTTTGATCTTTTTTGGGCTGTGATTTTTTGCCTTTCTTTCTTTTTGGGTTTAGTAATTAGCTTTTGTTGTGTGAATCATGGAGTAATGTCTTAAAAAATCCCCTCAGTACATAACAACCCCAAAGCAGAAGGGTATGATGACCCCAAAGAGGAAGGGTATGATGCTCCAAAAGCAGAAGGATATGATAGTGCCCCTGGATATCCAGGGGCACTATCATATCCTTCTGCTTTTGGAGCATCATACCCTTCCTCTTTGGGGTCATCATACCCTTCTGCTTTGGGGTTGTTATGTACTGAGGGGATTTGTGCAATTTTAAATTGTCAAGCATTCTTCTGTAGTAAAGGACAATGAACTTTCAATTCCCTATTTGTATGAGTATGCACCTGACTAATGTAATATATGAGATAGGGATTAGAAGATATAAAATACTGTTTGTACTGGATGTTATGCTTGTAAACTTTGATAAAAGCAAAGAGAGAAAGAGAAGAGACAATAGAGAATGATTGTATTACAACTTAATAGAAAAATGCATACAAAAAACCCTTATATAGTAGGGCAACATAAAAGAATGAAAGGACTAAACTACCCTTGAGACTAAAATTTTTAACTACTCTAATACCCTCCTTCAAACTCATGATGTGTTAGCAAAAAACATAAAGAGTTTGCCAAGAAGAAAACGAAAGCGAGTAATAGTATGCTATTTTGTGAAAAAATTTGTTAACTGCATAGTGGAAGAAAGAAAAGGAAGGGAGATAATACTCAGTTGAAGATGATGACGCACAAAGTGACAATCAATCTCAATATATTTTCTGCGCTCATGAAAAACTAAGTTATGAGGAATTTGAATAACACTGGTATTGTCACAATACATAGGAGTTGGCGTAAGTAACATGATGCCTAGATCAGTAAGGAGCCGTCGTAACCAAACTATCTCAGCTATAGTAGATGTCATAGCATGATATTCAGCTTCGGCAGATGAACGAGAAACAACAGTTTGCTTCTTACTTTTTCAAGAAATAAGAGAATCATCGAGAAAAATACAAAAACCCGTAGTGGACTTACGGTCCATAAAGTCACTATCCTAGTCAGCATCAGAATAAGTCCTGAGTTCCATAGAGAAAGAGGAGAATAACAAACTCTGGTGCAGAGTACCTTGAAGATACCAAAGAATACGAAGAACCGCAATCCAGTGAATAGTGGTGGTTGAGGCAACAAATTGACTAACAACATGAACAGCATAGGAGATATTTGGATGAGTGACTTTAAGATATACTATACTCCCAACAATAGCGTGATAAAGTGTAGGGTTAGACAGAGGAGTACCATTAGAAGAAGAGTAACGAACATTGAGCTCTAAAGGTGTTTCAACTGTCCAATTATCTGATAAATGAGCTCGTTGAATAACATCTAAAGCATACATGGACCGAGAGAGAAGATATCCTTTAAGAGAGTAAGCAATTTTAATACCTAAGAAATATCTAAGCTGCCCCAAATCTTTCATCTCAAAATGGTCTTGCAACTGGATTTTCAATAAGTATATGCTAGCAGTGTCATCACCCATAATAATCATATAATCAACATATAGTAAGAGAATAATGAAACCTGAGAAAGTAGACCGTAAAAAGAGAACAGAATTATGGTCACTTGCACGAAAACTCAAGTCACAAATTACCAAAGAAAATTTGGCAAACCATGCTCTGAGAGCCTGTTTAAGGCCATATAAAGCTCGGTGAAGTCGACATACTTGACTAGGACTATGTTATAATCCAAGACAAAGAGTCATAAAAACCTCTTCACTTAAATCTCCATGAAGAAATGCATTTTTCACATCCATCTGAGACAAATTTCATTAGCGAATGGCAGCAATTGCAATCACGATGCGAACAGTGGTCATTTTCGCAACAGGGGCAAAAGTTTCATCATAGTCTATACCATACTTCTGAGCAAAACCCTTGACTACTAATTGAGCTTTATACTGTTCCACAGAACCATTAGATTTGGTTTTTATTTTATAATCCCACCTACAACCAATGAGGTGTTTACCAGGTGGTAAGGACACTAGTTCCCAAGCTTTGGTCTTGTGTAAGGCAGACAATTCCTCATCTATGGCCTCTTTTCAAAATGAATCAAGTAAAACCTCCTTGTAAGAGGTTGGTTCAGATAACGAGTAAATAAAAGTAAGGAAAGAATAAAAATCAGAAGAATAACAAGTGTTACTTCAGCCAAACCTATCTGGACATTTGCGAGAGCGTTGAGGATAGCGCGGGGTATGATCCACATTGTCTAAACTTGATTGGGTGGCAAGAGAAGAACATATGTATGAACAATAGGGAGACTAGTGATGGGTACATCAGAAACAGTCATATCACCAATATAAGTGTTAGAGGGAACATTAGCTGAAAATGGGTCAATATAAAATGGGTCAATATAAATGAGATCAAATTTATGCAAATGAAAATAAGAGAATAGAAAAGAAGGGAATATGCTCCATGACAATAACATGACGAGAGACATAATTTGTGTGACACAGGATCATAGCAATGATACCCCTTTTGACCTTCACTATAATCAACGAAAACACATAAAGTTGAACGAGCAGAGAGCTTTGTACGAAAAACACTTGGAAGCAAAACAAAATAGGTGCGTCCAAATACACGCAAAGAGAAAAAGTCAGGTGACTCACCACATAGTTTTTCAAATGGAGAAATTCTAGATGTGATGACAATGGGAATAGAATTAATTAGATGGACCCCAGTAAGAACTGTTTCTCCCCAAAAAGAACTTGGAACATTTGCTAATAGTAAGAGATAGCGTGCTGTTTCCATAATATGTCGGTGTTTGCGCCCTGCTACACCATTCTGTTTAGGTGTGTCAGTATAAGAAGATTGTCAAATAGTGCCATTAGATTTTAATAGATCATGAAAAGAATTGAAAAAATATTCTCCTCTTTGGTCACATTGAATTTATTTAATAACAGATGAATATTGAGTACGTATCATAACACGAAACGTAGTGAACACAGAAATGAATTCAGAATGATGTTTCATGAGATAAATCCAGCAAAACCTAGTATCATCATCAATGAAAGAGACATAATATTTAAACCCTCATTTTGTTAGAACAGGAGTTGGTCTCCAAACATTAGAATGAACCAGATCAAAAGGTGCAAGTGAGCTAGTGAAACTTTTATTAAAAGGTAATGCAGTAAATTTAGCTCACTTGCATCCACTATAACTGGAAATATCATGACACTTTAAATTACCTAAACTACCAGTAGAGGCTAAAAATTTCAAACGAGAGCGAGACACATGGCCAAGACGAGAATGTCACAAATAGAAACTAGAAGACTGTGGACTTAATGAAATGAAGATAAATCAAGAGTAGAAGCAACAATATTTGAAATATGTAACTCGTCTAACATATACAATCCTCCCTTTCTACTGCCTGTCCCAACCAGTTTCTTGGAATGTGGATCCTGTACAATACATCTAGAAGAGGAAAAATGAACTGAAAATCCTGAGTCAAATAGCTGACTAATTGAAATTAAATTCATGGTAAGCTATGAAATATAATAAACATCAGGAAGTGTTAGATGCCGGGAAATTATAGATCCAACACCAGCCAAGGACATTTGCGTACCATTAGCTGCAAGCACAGAAACAAATGGAGGAGAAAAGGTAGATGCAAATAAGGAATAATCACTAGTCATATGATGGGTAGTACCTGAGTCAAAGACCTAGGTAGTTCGAGATATACCTGAATGACCCGAAGTGAACGAACCTATTGAAGGTGAGATGAAGAGAGTATTAGGCTGTTGAAGAAGTTTCTGCAATTGATCAACAATGTTAGTCAATTTTAATTGTCAGTCACCATAATTGTCACTAGTCAAAAATAACAACAATCAAATCAACTGAACCAATTCCAAACCACCAAGCCCAACTAAAGTTCAAAGTCCCAGGAAATATAAAAGTCAAACTGACCCAACAATTACAGCCCAATGGAAAATCAAAGCCCCAGTCGGAGAACAATAGCCAATGAATCAGTCCAACAACCCAAACAACAAATATCAAACAACCCAATAGCCTAAAGTAATAAAGAACAACAAAATTCCAGCTCAGCCCAAACTACCAGCAACTTGTCTTGCAAACAGGAGCAACGAACAGACCCAAATCAGAACAATAGAAGGGAACAACGACAAAACCAAGTAGGCAACAAAGTCTTCCAGCAAGCCAAGGAGAGAAGAATATTCAAAACCAGCAACAACGAAGCAACAAAGCAATAACCGAAGCTAAAATTCTGCACAAGCTCACAACCAGCGAGACCACCAATTGCTCACACCTCGCAGCCAGCCACACAAAGACACACCCACAACCAACAAACCAACAATTAACAGATCAAAGAGCAGCAACAGACAAGGTAGGAAGATGGCATGAGCAGGAGAAGGCAGAAGCCAAAGGAGAAGTGACAAACCAGTCGCTACAGTGTTTGCCGAAGGAGGAAATCAGCTAAAAATCCCATTACTTTGCATCAAAAACCAGTTCAAAATGCTTCAAAGCATCCAATCGAACATCAAAGAGGCAAATTCGCACCACATAAGGAATTTGGAGCAAAAAAAAAATTAATCAAAACTTTAAGAAATTCGAGATCAAAGTTTTTGGCTCTTTTTCTTAATAAATCTTTGAAAAATCATAAACCCTATGAGACGGACATCAAATCAAAACAAAATCACACCATGTTGAAACCCACAAGCAATTGATCAGATGGTGTGTCTTGCAACCTTAGGGTGCTGACGTCATCATCTGCATTGATGATATTAGCCCTAGTTCAAATTCTAAATTTCCTTAGATGAATCTGATATGTTGTTGATCGTGTTTGGGTTGAAACCCGCTCTGATACCATGTAAACTTTGATAAAAGTAAAGAGAAAAAGAAAAAAGACAATAGAGAATGATCGTATTACAACTTAATAGAAAAATGTATACAAAAACCCCTTATATAGTAGGGCAACATAAAAAGAACGAAAGGACTAAACTACTTTTAAGACTAAATATTCTAACTACTCGAATAATGTTGATCCATATTGGATAGTCAAGTGACCAAGGTTTGTGCATTGTAATTTATAATTATTGTTTGGGTGAGGGTGACTCTTTAAAAAAAATGTCAAATGCTCTTTTATAGTTGTGCATTAACAGCCGAGCTTCATTGCCACAACTTGGAAAGTTCTAAACGATATGGAAGGTCACCACCGCATTGGTCCCAAGGCTAGTTTGAATAATTACTCATGTAGTGGAAAAGAGGTTATGTTGCTGAATAATAAATAGAAAAGTATTGGAAAAATTATGGGCTCTTTTGATAGGTTTTAGTTAAAGCAACTCCAATCTTTTCCCTTTTTTAAATTCAAATTTAAATTTGGATAAAAAATTCTTAAAAACCTTTTATAATGTTAGACCCATACCCATATCAAATCAAAGAGAGAATCATTTTTTTTACTCAAATTAAGAGAGACTCAAATCCATACCTAAATTTTTAAAAGGGAGATTTTACCCTCGTTTAAAGATTCAATGGTCATATTTTACTTTCTTTTAAATTTAGGTTTGTCTACATTTAAATTTGGGTTTCCTTCTTTTAAATTTGAGTTTTTCTATTGGAGAGATGTATACCAAATCAAGTTTTTTACCCATTTTTTACTCAAATTTGAGTAAAATTTTACTCAAATTTTTTTTACCATATCAGTCTCCATTGGAGATGGGCTTACTGTTTGAGAAGAAAATCCAGTTATCGGATCTTTTGTAAAATGTGAGCTTCAAGCCCGATTTTTATAAATGGGGGTGAACGGGCCACCTCGTATTTATAATTGCTGTTTCTCTTGTCTAAGCATCTTCATCTTTTTCTTTCCTTTGGAAAACTGTTCCTTGTACCCTCTTTTGGTGTTTTACTCATTTGTCCCCCATCAATATTAGTGTGGATGAGAAGATTTTATCTGAATTGTCATACCATCAATGGAACAAAGTGTTGGGATTTGGAAGGATGTAAAATGGAGAAAAATATAGACCAGCTTGGTCGAAAGAATGAGTGTTGCGTCAGTGAGGAGAATGGCTGGTTTCTGGTTCTATCAATTTTTTTGGTCTTATTGTTATGCATTTTCTCTTTGGATTTTCCCTATGGTAAAGTAATTTCACTAAGTTATTATTCATGGAATGGTTTCTTTATTATTTTTTAATTTTGGGGCATGCTTTGACTGGCAATATAGGAACCACGTGGTCCAGGTGGGTCTCGTGATCGTGAATATCTTGGCCGAGGTCCTCCACCAGGAACAGGGCGCTGCTTCAACTGTGGAATTGACGGCCATTGGGCCCGAGACTGCAAGGCTGGAGACTGGAAGAACAAGTGTTATCGCTGTGGGGAACGAGGCCATATAGAAAAGAATTGCCAAAACAGTCCCAAGAAACAAAAGTATGTGTTTTTCTTGCCCTGCTTTTTTCTAGCATGAAAGTTTAGATTTTTACTGTTTATCAAGCTAAATATTACGGGTGCAGACCTGGGCAGAGCACCTCCAGGTCTCCAGTTCCTCATCGTGGCCGAAGCCGAAGCCGAAGCCGAAGCCGAAGCCATGGTTACAGCAGGAGTCGTAGCTACAGGTATATTTTTTTTCTTCCTTCTTTGGCTGTATTTGTGATTGAAAGTTATTAGCCAATAGGCTCTCGTTGCAATTTTTTGCGTTTTTGCCTCTCTTATGCGCCTATGATTTGAGCAGTGTATGTTATGAAATAGGCAAGTTTCATGTATACTCCTGGTTAAGTCTTGTTGCACTTCACCTATCTCCCATTCAAAAATAACAACAGAATACTCGTGTAGTTTGTGTACCAAAATGTACCACTAATTCCATTAACAACCCTGGTAATATAACTCATTTCAATTTTTGCTTATTTGCATCTAATGCGGCTATGATTTGAGCAATGTATGTTATGAAATAGGCAAGTTTCATGTAACCTCCTGGTTAAGTCCTGTTGCACTTCACCTACATCCCAATCCAATATAACAACAGAATACTCTTATAGTTTGTGAACCAAAATGCATCACAAATTTCATTAACGACACTGGTAAAATAACTATAATACCCTATCTTTGTATCACTCCCCTCTTTGACTAATGGGTAAATCAAGTGTGCTATTTTTGTATGACGAAAAAGGACAGTCAATAATATAACTTTTAACAAAAGTCAAAAGCTGATACATTTATGTTGCATAATTTCCATGTCATTCTAGGAAGTTTGTTGTGTCAACAGGTGTGTGGCGTTTTATATACAGCATAAGTTACATAGCTTGTTTCATCTGTCTTTTTTATTTCTCTTCAGCCGATCCAGATCACCCCCAAAGAGAGAGCGCAACATTGAGCGTGGGGAGAGAAGATCAAGGAGCCCCAAGCGGCACAGAAGTTCACCTCCTCCATCCAAAGGAAGGAAGCATAGCCCAACACCTGATGAGAGAAGCCCAGAAGAGAGAGGTACCCCTTCACCAGGGGATGGCAGGCAGGCCAATGGCAATGGATCAGAGTACAGTAAGAGCCCCAAGGCAAGGAGAAATAGCCCTATGGATGATGCTGAAGGAGATAGCCCCAAGGACAGGAGCCCTGTTGAAGACAATGGTCAGAGTCGCAGCCCTAGCCCTGTCCTTAGGAACCATGAAAGCCCTGTTGATGATGATGAGATCCATGATTCCCCAAGAGGCAGTGAGTCGGCTTAAGAGCAGCTGCAAGAAAGTTAGTTCTTTGCACTTAATTTTTGTTTGGTCTTGAATGGTCTTGTCGCTTTCGTGAGGTATGTTGTTGAGGTATGCTAGCATTTTCTCTATTTGATGAAGTGACATGTGGAATTACCCGTCATTACAGCTTTTCTTCTGCTCTTGCTCCGAACCTGGTGTTAGACATTAATGGCGAAATGTATGGGGCAGTTTTATTTGAAATGCTCAATTCTGAGATTTTAACTTATGGCGATAAGTTAACACATGCAGGGATTTTGGTTGTTCGGTACGTTTTTCCTCAATTTTTACTCCATGATTACATATGCTATATGTAAGTGGTTCCCCTATTAATACATAATTGGTAATCTCCAAAATTGAGGGAAAGCGTACTGAAGAGGATCTTATTCCGTTAATCTATAGAATTTGGAACAGGTTTTGCTGAAATTTAGGGTTTTCTGTTGCAGAGATACCCCTTGTCTCGTGATTGACAGAGAATCAAGGTAGGGGATAGATGTTGACATCTGAAAAGTTTTGTCCATTAAGCCTTGTTTTTCCTTGGGGCTAAAGAAAACTAAACAGCAAGCCCTTAAATCTGGCAGCAGGAGATCCCCTAGTCTAGGTGGAGGCCTGTCGTGGAGGGTTGGACAATGGGGACCTGGGCAGTAGTCTCCTCAAGAAACTGCAATTTCCATTTCTGAACCTTGCACGAGTTGATAGCTTTCTCGTGTTTTTGAATGGTTGTTTGTTGGTTTGTTTATTTGCGACTTGCTAATGGAAAACGAAGGAAGGTGTTATTTTCTATTCTTTTGTACTCCTTTGCTGCCTGGACTAATACCTCTCCTATCATTGGCACTTCAGATGAATAGGGAGAAATTTTATACATCATTCTCCTCCCTTTTCCTAGCTTCAGTATGTTCCTCAGTAGCTAAGCTTCTGTTTTGTGAGCTCTATCCTAGCTACTAGTGTTTTGAGACTTAGACAAGCTCTGAAATCTCATATATAGAAACAAAAATACTTCCATGTTTTATTGCAGAGTTGCATATAGAAACAAATGTGTGTGTGTGTGTGTGTGTGAGAGAGAGAGAGAGAGAGAGAGAGAGATAAGTTTTTCATATCCTGCGTATTCTCCATTCCATTGTTCAAATCCTTGGTTTGATAGAATTAAGTTAGAACTAGTAATTTGACCCAAGGGGTTTGTTTTGTTTGAGGATATGGATGGACAAGATTGGAGTATCCAATATATTCCGATGTAACCCAGGATCTCTAATCCGTTCGATCCCAGCCACTGTTTGGTACTGTGACTCTATGGAGGAAAAATGTAAGGGAGAGTAACAAGATGGGGAGGATCAACGGTAGGTCTACTAGTTATTGCAATTTGTCATTAGACCGTTAAGTCGTTGATTTGGACTTATTGCAATTTGGACCGTGAAGTGGTTGATTTGAACTTTACTGTATAATTTCAAGTAAAAGTTTATAATAGTGATTAAAAAAAAAAAGTAGCATGATGTGATTGATGCACACCCATTTAGCTAAAAAGATAAGTTTTACAAGATAACCAAAAATTCAACATGTTTTTGAGTGCAAGATGTTGGACAACGAAGAAACTTTATGTTCAAAAATTAAGTGCGTTTGAAATGTAAATATTAAGATGAATAGAGTAAGACTAAAAGAGATATGAATTAATAATTTTTTTTATCGATAATTCGAATTTGAATATGAATATGATATGTTATATTTCTCTGATTTGAATTTAGATTTACCTATATCCGATCCGATTATGATTTGATCCGAAGTATTTACATATTTCTATATAAGTATTAAAAAATCTAAAGAAATTTAGTTAAAATTTAGGTATGAATTGTTAAAATTTAGTTAATTAAGTTAGTCAGACGAATATAGACCACGAAAAATAAAATTTATCGAATTATAGAATTTGGATCGAATTCAAATTAGTCAAATTTGAATCCAAAATTCAATCCATTGATAAATCTACTTATAAAAGATGTCGTATTACACTAAGGATAGGAAGAATGATTTGATACGTATAAATAATAATGTATGGTGTTCAAGTGAGATAGTAAAACAAATAATATGATAATATACAATGGTAAAAAATATGACCACTTATATAACACAAAAGATAAAAAATTCAGAAATAACATGATCCCAAATAATTGGAATAAATATTTTATTGAGTTTTTATTTTTAAAAATTAGGAAAAATTTCAACTACACCCCCTATAGTTTATTTTATCTTCAAGGACACTCTTTTTATTTTTTGAATTTTTATTGACACCCCTATCAGATTAAAAATATTAACTATAATGTAATTTTACTAAATTGTCCATGATATATTTGAGGACAAATTTCATCCACACCTCTACTATTTTCTAATTTTTTTTTAAGTATTAAAATTTGAACCGATTAAAATTTGATTCAAGCTAATTAAAATTTGAGACGATTAAAATTTATATTTTTATTAAAATTTGGGCTAATTAAAATTCTATTTGAGCCAATTAAAAATTATTTTTAATCAACTCAAATCAAATTATAATCAGTCCAAACTTTAATACATAAAAAAATATAAATTTTAATTGACTCAAATTTTAATAAATAAAAATTTTACTTTGACATAAATTTTAATAAGTAAAAAAATATAAATTTTAATTGACTTGAAAGCAAATTTTTATTGGCGCTAACAATTCGGGTAGAGTTTAAATCGGCATAAAATTTAATACGTAAAATATAAATTTTAATATGCTCAAATTTTAATACGTTAAAAAAAATAAATTTACTCGGCTTCAATCGAATTTTAATTGATTCAAAGTTTAATATGTAAAAAAATAAATTTTAATTGACTCTGATTTTAATAAAATTTTATATAGAAAAATTATTTGAGGTTTATATATGGGCATTTATGGTATTTTAGATGATTTTTTTTTTTTTTTGTTAGAAATGATAGTTTAATGGTAAAGAGTGTTAGTGATGTTTAAATAAAAATTAGATGGAGTGTCAATGATATTTTTGGTAATAGAGGAGATGGCGTTGAATATATAATAAACTACGAGCCAAAAGAAAAAAGAAACGCTCCTCTGCCGCCGCCTCGTACGCGGCATCGAAATTTTAAACTTTTCATTCGGACCAAAGTACCCCTTCCCAGACTCTTTTTCCAACTGAACTACTGAAGAAAAAGTAACGCTTTGGCTTTTCTCTCTCACTCCTTTCTGCTTGTCCCCCCCCCCCTCTCTCTCTCTGTAAACCAATCAGCGTTCATCTGTCGAATAGAGCTTGGCTTTCAGTGCTCAACATCAAATTCAGAAATTCTTTATGGTTTTTTTACCCGCCGGCCTAGTGCTCTGTCAAACAAACCGTGCAGTAACTCTCTTTCTCTCCTCTCTACATATATGTGTGAGTGTGATTAATAAATGGACTTTTGTGTACATGGGTTGAATATCTCGGTTCCTTTAATTTCGGGAATGTAGTAGTGATTCGTTAGATTTTTTATTTTTGAACCTGCACCGGTAAGAACTATATCATTTACTTTATCTGCACAAAAAAAATTATATTCTCTCTACTCAATGATCTCTTTTGGTAATTCTCAGTCCTTGAATTTTTGAGGTGTTCTTGTATTGGCTTGTGGTTTTTTTTTTTTTTTTTTTTTTTTTTTTTTTT